TCTGTGTTTATTTAAATATAGAGAAACCTCTCAGTTATTGCTTCATCTTGCTGTAAAGGACCAATCAGTGCATCTGGCCCTTTGGCTGACAATGGGCGCCTCCTAGTGGCTCAAGAGAGGGGAGGGGGTTCCCAGCCCACTACTCCAAAAAGGCTGCACCCACATAGCTCGGTGGTGGTTTCATTACACAAGGCTTTCTACAGCAGATTCACTCTTGTGACTGACTGTTCAGTGGTCTGCTGGCTTGAGAAGGGTATTCTTCTTACAGAATTTTCTTACATTGTTAAGAACTTGGCTATACAGTTCTGTAAACACGTGTGTACACACATACACATGGATATTTTTTTCTCCTTAAAGTAATAGATTTCACTGATTACAATCTGGAAAATAAAGTATGATGGAAAAATACCTATAATCCCACCTCCAGATTGTTACCATTAGCATTTTGGTATATTTCCTTCCAGTTTTTTTTCTGTATTACGTCTCTGATATTTTTTATGTTTTGTATGTGTGTGTTTAAAAACAAAATTGTACATACTGTAAACCTGTTTAAAACACACTTAACAGAACATGACTACTGTCTTATCCCCTTCATTATTCTACAAGAACATTATTTCTAATGAATGCATGATTCACATTTTTGAAATAATTTAACCAGTTCCCCATGGCTGAACATTTTTTTGCCCCCAATTTTCTCCCTATAGTAAGTCACTGCAATGAACATCCCTGCATTTTCTGAGCACCTGATTACCTCTTTTGGATAAACACCTAAATATGAAGTTACTAGACTGAAAGTTCTGAACATTAAGGCTTTTAATACCCATTTAAACTACTCTTAAGCTTGAAACTAAAAGACTAATAATAGATTTCAGAATGGGATACCAAACTTATCTGTTCCTATGCACCAAAAAATGAATAATTAGGCTCAAAGCTTCTAAGATTAAGATAAGCATATTGGAATTATTTGCTTTCAGTAAATATGTTATAAAATTTGACATAAAAATTAAATCATGGTAGTATTTGATACTCAAATCCAATTTTCTGTTGGACATTGGAAAAAGCTGAGAAAAACAAGAAGCAGTTTCTTGAGATATAAAGTCATAGCCACTGAACCCTTAAAGAAATGTCTGTAGCCTAGGAAATTTCAAAAGTCTTTCAACTTTAACACATTTGCTGCTAAAGTATCAATTAGAAGAGGATTCCCAATTCAGAAGAATGTAACTAGGTTTTAAGTTCTATATATAAGTAGAGGACAAAAATGTCCCCTCCCTTTTCTTTAAACAAAAAATCTTTATATTTATATTTCTTCTGGAAAATCATTATGAATGTGTCTTCTTTTAACAAGGAAGTGGGATCAATTTATAGTTCACCAGAATATTTTTTTCAGCACCGTATTCCCAGCACCTAGCATGACGTTGAGCATAGAGTAGGAGCTTAATATGGATAAATGAAGGCATTAATAGCAAGTACATCAATCAATTCAGTACACTGTTGGTTTCTCGTCCTGCAATGTAATTTATCAATGACTTCATAATAAAAATCAGTGTTAAAATAGAATCTGCTCTAAGGATCACTTGTGTTTGTCTTAAAATTAAGGGAAACCTGGCCCAACATGCACACAATTGGAAACGGTTTATATTAAATCTATCAAACATAATGAAGTCATTCTAATCTAAATTTGTTGTCTCCTACAGAAAAGTCCTATTAAAATTTATGTATTAACCTGTTTACCACCCAGCCCTAGTCAGTACTTGTGAAATCAAAATCTAGAAATATGAATTCTGTAGTATAACTAGTTCCCAGAAGGGAACAACATTTAATGTTCTGGGCATTTTAGGAGAGGGAAAGGGATTAAAAATGGCAGAATAAACCAATATTGAGTATTTTGACGTAAAATAAGCTGAGCTAGAACAGGTATCAGCAAAAATATATTAAAAATAGGCATTCATAATTTACATTAAGGAATTGTTTTGTTTTTGTTGCAGTTTGTGTTTTTAACTGCAAACCTGGATTAGTAATAATAACAACAACACAGGTCTTAATTAGTCAGAAGTATATCCCCTACCTTTAAGCTGGACCACTCCCAAATAATTTCTTTAAATCAGCTGTACATACGAAGCAATATGAAGGCATGAACTATAGATACATACAAAAACCTGATGGATCCTGAGGGCATTATGCTTACTGAAAAAAAGTCAATTGCTAAAGGTAACCTACCACATGATTCCATGTCTATAAAACACTGTCAAAATGACAGAATTATAGAGATGGAGAACCAAATAGTGGTGGCATGGGGACCGGGCTAGGCGAGGGATGCAATATAAAGACCCGCTCCTCTGCGATGCCTGTGCCTTGATGGTGGTGGTGGTCACACAGATCTGTTCATGGGATAAAACTGCATGGAACTGTACCAGATACACACAAATGAATGCTTATAAAAATGGTGAAAACTGAATAAAGTTTGTAGTCTAGTTAACATTAATATACCAATGTCAATTTATGATTGTACTACAGTTATGAGGTGTCACCACTGGGGAAAAATGGATGAAGACTACACATTGTTGAACTATTTTTGCAACTTCCTGTGATTCTATAATTTCAAAGTAAGAAGTTTAAGAAATAGCTCTACAATTTCTATCAAAAGTAATTATTTCCTCATTTCCCCTACTTGCCTGTCTGTCACACAAGCTTAAGTGTGCCTCGCCTTTGAATTTAACAAGCTCTGAATATTTGCTGAGTTTTATTTGGAAGATCTATTTCAGGAGTAAGAGCTCTAAACCCCTGGCCTTTAAAATTTAAAGTGATGGAATAATTTATAATAATAATTTATTTTAAAAAATTTATAATAATCTATAATGATAGAATACATAGTGCTACAATGAGATTTGGAATCTTAAGTATAAGTAGCAATAAAAAAAGGGGAGGGGGCTATTTTAAATCAACTATCTACCAGCGAAAGCTTCTTCTGACCTTGTCTACTTTATACATATTTTACCTGGCTGCTCTCGACCTATATGCACACTTCATTCTTGCCATATATTACTTCGCATAGGCCTTTCCATGTTCCTGTTGGGTCCTCATTTTTCTCATTCCTGAAGCAATAAGGCAATCTTTTGCATTAACATATCCTGTGTGCCCAACCATGTCACATAATGAGGAATTTGTACTCTGCCCCCTTTTGGTTTCCTAGATCGGATTCCAGTACTTGAAGGCTTACCTTGGGTAGACCAATAGACTCCATGGCTCTTAACCACTGGACGGTATTATCTGTATGTCGAAAATGAAGGCCGGACTTCTAATGTGAGGATGGTGTTGCGGTGGGAGGGGGGAGAAAAAAGGAACCACACAAATAGTGAGTCATTTGCAATAACTTTTTTCATTATCAGATTCTTTTCAATTGTATTTCTCCTAGAATAGAGTTATTAAAGTCCATATAAAACAANCCAGCGCAGGAAGAAGCTTTGATAGAAAAAACTTTAGATACCCTTGAGACTTCTGAATTACTATCAAGAAGCAGCCAGACATTAAGTTTAGAACAGAGAAATGTGAAAGAGGTTCTCCCAGGGGATGCTGTTTATTAAGTAAATACTGCTTGAGGTCAGAGCTGGTAAACGACAGGCTGGAGCCTGTTCCAGGATGAGTAACAGTAATAGGGATGAGAACACCAATAATGTTCATACGATTGGCAATAATAAGCAAGAAGTTGCCTTTTCTTTGTTTACCACACTGTTCAAGCCATTGTTAAAACTATGGCAAACACAGTTACCCTCAGTGCAATTCTACAATATAAGCTGCTGTACAAGAACAGTGACATCACCAGAAAGGAACTTCGCACACCATTTCTTTATAAGCTGCTTAACAGTAATGCCCCAGGTGTCCACTTCAGGAAATCAATTTAGGCTTATACAAGACATCCCATGAGCATGCTACGGATTTGCAGATTAGCTCGATGAAGCATGGATATGATAATAACATTAACTAATGGCGGCTGGCTTAGCAGGTCACCAAAACTGGCTTTAACCATTGTGTTAAGTGATCATTTGAAGCACTGAAAAATATTTGACGAAGAATGTTGGGCAACACATTAAAAATATCCCTCAAAATAAGCACTTTGGTACAAAAAGCTTTTAGAAAACCTGCTGGCATAATGATACACTAGCCACATACATGAAGGCAGGCATGTATGTGTGTGTGTGTGTGTGTGTGTGTGTGTGTGTGTGTGTTTTTCCAGTTGTTCTAAATTATTAGAATAAAAAGAAATCATAGAAAATCACCTATATTTGGTCTATATTTCTAGCAACTGTCATCTTCCAAAGAAACCTCATAAGTACTGATTGCGGGGGGGGGGGTCAAATTATATGACATAATCAAAATTCTTCTCTAGCAGGCCAGAATTGCAGTGAATTATTACAGAAACCTCTTCCTTTGGAGAGGAAAAGAGCCAGGAAGAAGTTAATATAAACCTCTAGGCAGAAGATTCTGCCAGGAAAATGACTTCGAGTGATATAAACACAAGGCAGATGTTCTACAAGAAATTTAAAATTTAATTAGACATGAAGTCTTTCAGCCATTACCTGCATGCATGCAAGACAACCACCACGAACTGGATTCTAAAACTCATCTATGTTACCATCTAAAAATTACATTCTTCCCGGCCATTAAGAAATGATCTGTGAACTAGCAGAATTTCAACATTTTCAAAAATTAAGTTATCAAACAATTGCTTTAAAACAATGACTGTATCTTGCTCTAATTTAAAGCAACTTCTAAGTTTCTTTTTTTATCCTTAGGGTACAAGTTCTATTGAAGAAACAAAAGCACTGAATTTTATTAAACTGTGATAAGAATTGAACTGAACGGATAATTTTAAGAGTATCAAAACCAAAATTATGACCACTAAAGCTGTTCATTTGATATAGTTTAGCTATATGTGTAAACTAGAAACTAGATCATAACTCAAGGATTGTAGCACATTACTATGAGATCCCTAGAAGTTTCAACTTAAATTTTCTCCTTATCATACTTATAGGTCTCTTATTCATTTTCTGTTTTTCTATTTTGAATTAGATAAAAAAATCAGAAAAATATTTTTCAAGTTCAAGTACTGTTTTTATGCAACGATTATTTTAATTTTGTACCAACAAATTCAAAATAGCTCAATCTAATAAAAAGTTATTCAGAATTACTAAAATACTTTAAGTTCTCTTTTAAAATTAAAATTGTAGCTTTATTTAAATTTATTTCCTAGACTTTGAGTTGTATTTTCCCACCTCAGTGCATGAATGCAATAAATCATTCTTGGTATGTTTTTCCGGTCATAGACATCTGTTGTTTCTGGATAAAATATCTGGAAAACAAAAGAAACAATATGTTTATTATGTTTTGTTTTTCACAATTATTTTAAGTCTCCCAAATGGTCCTACTTTGATTGTTCTTTTTTTTTTTTTAAAGGAGACTTTTTTTTTTTTAATTGGGGAATTGGGGGGATGGGAACAGTGCTGGGGAATTGGGAGAAGGGGAACAGACAAGTTGCTGTCGTTTGTTCTTCAGTCTAGTTGTGCAGGACGTTGCTTCACTGGCCCAAGTTGGCACCATCGTTG